CAGAAGGTCTGGAACGGACGGTCCACTAATGCCAGACCGTCCGTTCTACGTGCTGGAACGGACGGTCCGCGTGTATTTCTGGACCGTCCGTTCCGGGCTTCAGTTTTTCCGAAATTAAACCGAATTAGGGTTAAATCACCTTATAAGAAGGAGATTAAAAACCCTAACTCGGAAGTGACGAATAGAGCCGACTTTTGGCAGAAAAGAGAGAGTCTTTGGAGATCCAAAAACGAGTTCCAAGTCTCGAGATTTCTCGGTGCACATATCGAATAGAGATTCGAGTCCTAGCAGACAAGTTCCAACCGTTGGAATCCATCCCGTGGTGTGGATACGTGTAGAGGGTGAGGTATTCTTCCTGCCTTTCGTGATCAGACGTGTTCTTCGATTGATACAGGCCCCGGATCGATTGATGTAAGCGTTCTAACGTTTCTACGATTCAATAGCAGCATGGTTCTAGGGTTCTATAAAATTTTCCAGTCAGACCCGGATGACTGCAGATCGTAGTCTGGCTATGTTTTCTGTCTTAACGGAGGTGCTGTTAGCTGGAAGAGTACCAAGCAGGCAACCGTTGCAGATTCTACTACAGAAGCTGAGTATATTGCAGCGTCGGACGCAACAAAGGAAGCTGTTTGGATCAGAAAGTTTGTTGGAGACTTGGGTGTCATTCCTAGTGCTGATAGCCCCATTGCTCTGTATTGTGACAACAATGGAGCGATCAGCACTAGGAATGACACCCAAGTCTCCAACAAACTCTGTATTGTGACAACAATGGAGCGATCGCACAAGCGAAAGAACCCAGATCCCATCAACGATCCAAATACATACTCAGACGATTTCACCTTATCAGGGAGATCATAGACAGAGGAGACGTACACATTTGCAGAGTGTCGACAGATGACAACATTGCCGATCCGTTGACGAAGCCTCTCCCTTCGTCGAAGCATGAGGGTCATGTTAGGGATATGGGCATTAGATGTTTAACAGTTCATGATTAGAGCAAGTGGGAGATTGTTGGTTTAGTGCTCTATGATGTACTGCTTATGAGTTTTATTTAGATACATTTAATGTATTGATACTTTCTACAGTTTTATGAGAGTATTTGATTCATTACATGTTCTTGCATACTATATGTGTTATGAAATCCATGTATCATTATGAATGATACTAAACTCCCTAGTCTTGTGTCATTATGGGAATGATGACATAATAAGACTAGTATGATGTGTGATTGATGATCATATAGATGATCATAGGTATTGGATACGATCACAATCATAGGTATTCGTTGGAGAACGGAATACTGGATTGACCCGCATGAGATTGTCACATGGACTAGCGTCATGACTTGAATCTCATATGGCGGTTCCATGATTGGATCCTAAGACCTGAGATATCTACGGAATCCAACATGAGGAGATTTGTACCTCTCGTAAAAGAGAGAGATATCGTTGGGCCCCTCGTGTGAGCGACACTGTAGAAATGTGTGGTCGCACTATAGACGAACGTCGTCTATTTCAGACAGTCGAACTCAGTGAACGAGAAAGGTGGCTTGTCCATGCCTTATGTTCGACATATGATATCGCGATACAAAAGGATCATCAGCCGGAATCATCATTGGAGTTCGTATGATCACGAACAAACTCTATTCGAGATAGGTAGTCATAGTGTCTTGCTAGAGACCGTCTATGACTTGTATATCCGGAATAGAGATTTCGGGTTATACTGCTATATCGAATGAGCCTACAGGGTCACACACGCAGGGAAGGACGAAACGCACGAGAAAAACGACCGAAAAACCAAGAAGGAAGGGTCTGGAACGGACGGACCAGAATTCCGGAACGGACGGTCTGCCAGGTCCAGACCCGACGGTCCGCGAAGAGTCGCAGACCGTCCGTTCTAAGTGTTGGAACGGACGGTCCGCGTTGATAATAGACCATCTGTTCTGGCTTGCCTGGAACGGACGGTCCACGTGAGCAGACCGTCCGTTCCAGCAAGGAGATTAAAACCCTAATCGTGGATGAGACGAAGAGAGCAGTCTGGAGCAGATTTTTGACAGCTTTTGGTGAGATCCAAAAGATCCAAGAGTTTCTAAGTCTCGTTTTCTCGAAGCATCAAACTGAATAGCTGACTCGGGTCCTAACAGACAAGTTCCAACTGTTGGAATCCATCCCGAGGTGTGGATACGTGTAGAGGACGAGGTATTCTTCCTACCTTTCGTGATCAGACGTGTTCTTCGATTGATACAGGCCCCGGATCGATTGAGGTAAGCGTTCTAACGTTTCTACGTTTCAATAGCAGCATGGTTCTAGGGTTCTATAAATTTTATCTGCTGCACAAACCCTAGAATCGATCTCTTAGGAATAGGATTCGCTCTAGAGATCCCAGGAAATCCCATCACAAGTTTGATTTCAGAGGAAGTAATACTATTTTTTTGTCACGATAGAGGAGTCACCTGCAAAAATCAATGCCAAATAAAATACCACATGTTCACGCAAATCACACATGATAAACCGAGTCCACACATACAAAATATCATAAACCGAGTTCACACACGAATACTAAACATCACAAACGGTTTCCTATGCTTATTCAGGAAGTTATGCACAAAAGACAGGACATTATTGAAGCTAAACGTTCCCCATGGAAATGCTTCACAACACTCCACGTCATCAGCTATCTTTAGCAAAAAGGGATTAACATACTCCGAATGTTGGTGCCCTATCGCATAACTTAGCACCACCAGATATGCCATCTTCAATCTATCCTCTTTTTCATCCTTCGTGAATTTCGAAAACTTATCCAAAACTTATGACTTCGAAACTTGTTCAAACGTTTCTTGACCAAAGCGTTTCTTGTAGAAATTGATCCCTCCAAGTCTTTCCCAATTCTTAGGTAATTCACTGCACTTTAATCCACATTGAATTGCATGTTCCCACAAGGAGTATCTAATGGGGACTCCATTAATGACGAACCACAACTCACTTTCCCTCTTCGTTTTCACCGCACGATTGATGAGCGCCACCATTAGACTCATCTTCAAAGACTATTTCCTCTTCATATGGAATATATGCCTAAATTGAGATTTTTCCGTGAAATGCTTCCTCTCTTCTTTGGTGAAATGATTTTCTAGAAAATCTACTGCTTCGATGTGAAAACACTTGGAAGATACTTTCACCGATATTTTATTCATATCGTCAAAATCATAGTAAAATTCTGGTTTCGTTGGAGTCTCCATCTCGCTCTGCAATAAAACAAGTCTATTTAGTTGCATTAACGACTAATATATACAAATTCAAATACTACTACGTTTAAACGACATTGCACCAAACACTTCTGTAATTTTTAGTGGCACCTATGACTCTTCACAGACATAAAACTTTGCAAATAAGACTAAATTATATACACACAAAACACTTCGTAATATTTCATTTCAACCCTCAATCATCACATAATCTGAACCTTTTTCATTAAATTATGCTCCCACACTAAAACTCTATACTTGAGAATACATATATCTGAAAATACCGAATGCTAGCCTAATTCATTCAGTTTGAGCATAAACTTGGATTCTCAACCCAAATATCTCATGCTACTACATTAGCACATAACACGTGAAATTAGCAGAAACACAAAATTAATAACTGACAACTCCCAAATTATGCATAAAAAATTCTATATCCACCAAGCTTTTTCATTTTTCCATTGTTGACATCAGTAAATCAACACACATAGCATCTTGTCAACATCAAGTAAACTATCTTCTTCATTCATGAAAAAAACAGTAAAGTAGTAGAATTTAAATGCAAAAACAAAACATATCAGCTATTGTTTACAATAAATATAATAGGACTCCAACTATAGAATTAATCAAGGCAATCCTATTGAAATAACCATACCACAGAATATTGAAACTGCTACTAACATAACGAAAAGTTCAACCATCGGAACAAAGAAACGCGAGATCTAAACATGCATAACGCACATGAAAACTTTGTAAAAAATAAATAAGCAAACAGAACAACTTCACTCTAGCTAGATTCTTCAGAAAAAATTTCGCAATTCATATACACTAATTCAAACTTAAGCCAAAACCAACTTTCCTATTCACATCGACATCAGAGGAGGAAACCTCTATCCTTCTCGTTTGCGGATCTGATTTTTCGGTCGATTCAAGTGCAATGCTCCGATTCAACCTCTTCATTTCCTTTCGACACTAGTTGGGATTTCTCTATTTCGCTATATTTATGGCAATTTTCGCACTCTCAAGTGTTCTTTATCTCTCGCCGCTTCTCCCTCTTTTTTGGATTCGAAAATCTGATTGTAAAAATCCTAGTTTCTCCTTTTTACTTTCGCAGAATTCGACACCTTTTTCTCAATTTTACTTCTCACGTGCATTTGCGTTTTACTTCTCACGTGCATCTGTTTATACGCTGTGTTTCATTAAGGATATTAAGGACTTTTCCATTTTTTTTAAGGATAACATTGTTATTTGATAATTCTTCATATTTTGCAGGTGTATCGGAGATAGAGATGTGACGCTAAAGGTGCAATCCTAAAGTTTGCCCCACCCCTGGGGAGAGGCTTGGAGCAATGGCATGTAAAATGTAAAATGGACAATCAGGTGACGAGTTTCTTCAATTTTTTTTGGAGATTTAGTTAGTACACAGATTTTCATTAAAATGTTTTTTTATTAAAAGATTTTACATTTATTTGATTTTCAATTATTTTCGTCGAATTCAGTTAATTAGATTTTATATTCATTAGGGTAGATTTGGTTCATTCGATTCGGTTTATACATACACCAACCGGAATATCCATACATCCGGAATGATGACGCATCTTATACAAAATATTGCCTTGGGCCTCTGAATTCTGAACCTAAGCAGCATTGTAAAGCTTGCATTTCCCAGTTCCTGCACAAACCTCACACTCATCTGCATCACCCTGTGCATGCCCCAAGCAATGTTTGATTCTGTCGTTCACAACGTCCTGCAAAAAAAAACACAAATTTTCAGATTAAACAATAAATATTCTCACTTCCAAACAAAATTTGATCAAGAAAAGCTTTTAAGAAAGATCAAAGGATCAATGAAATTACTGTGAATGAAACCACAATATGATACAAGTAAAATTGGCATTCATCAAAATCTGAAGAACATCGAGCTAATGTCGAGAAATTTAGAATTTTTTTCTCTCTGAAGGACATGTCGGAAGATTTTCTACCATATATTTCTTACCACGAGAAGATTATGAAGGAAAGTGACTATGAAATATGAATTAAGGAAACTAGCAAAATCTCAAACACATTAAGATCTTCTACCGAAAATATCTTACCACGAGGAGATTATGAAGCCCGAGAGGCGCAGTTATGAGGTATGCTATGCCAGGGAACTCCTTTGCAACATCAGCAGTCAAAGACGGAATATCCTAAAACTCAAATAAGAATCACCATTTTATTTAGCCTCTTTGAAGTATACATCCTTAGGTAATACTTCGATTTAGTGTGAAGAAATACCTGAAAATCAGATATACAAAATTATATGATAAACCTTTTAGAGTATTTGTGAGGAGGGCTCCAAGAAGAGGAGGGACAGAAAGGGAAGAAGCTGTTAAGGAGAGAGACTGGGGAAGAAGCAGGAATAATGGAAGGTGTGTAGCAGAGGAAGTTGGGGAAACCGCCGGGAATTGACGTGTGTGATTCCTGAGGTTGTTATGGGATATATATATATATATATATATACTAGGCTGCTTGTATAGGTTGCTAAGGCCAGCTCATTAGTGGGTTAATTAATGGCTATATATATAGATTATCTTTTTCCGTTTTGGGTATCAGAAAATTGCGAGAAGTATTGTGGTGGGTAGAGTTTTTTATCTCTGTAATGAGGAGTTTGAAAAACTCTGTATTGTTCTGGGTTTATTAAGAAATATAAACAGTTCATTATCTAATTCCTTATCATTTGGTATTAGAGTACCATCGATCCAGTCATGCCGCCGAAGGACAAAGATCATAAGGTCGAACGCCTAGAGGAGGCCATGAATGTCAAGATGGGTCACTTTGAATCTCGCATCACTGATGTTCAGTCCAGTGTTGCGTCGATTCAGAAGGATGTTCCTACCATGATGGAAAAGATGATGTTGATGATGGAGTCGCAGCGTGCTCCAGTTCCATCGATGTCGGGGTGGCAATCTCAGGTGAAATTTCTTCCTCTTCCCAGTCGACTCTTCATAGGGAAGGGAAGGCTCCATTCCTGGATACACATATGTTACCGACGGTGACGGAAATCCCTGCTGAGTCGTTACCACCGGACACACCATAGGGAGAAACAAACTGCGCTCAGTTCATCGCGGGTGCAGATCTGACTTACCGAAAAATCGAAATGCCAATCTTCGAGGGTTCCAACGTGGCTGGTTGGGTTGCAAGAGCTGAACGTTATTTTCGGTTGGGTAACGTTGCACCGACGGAGTGGCTCAATCTCGCCTCCTTGAGCATTGACGGCGAGGTTCTCCGCTGGTACGATTGGTAGTGTGGAAATCGGCCGTTTGTGGATTGGTCGGATTTCAAGCACCGGCTGCCACGCCTTTTGATCACCGTCTAATGGGGTCTGTCGGTGCTCGATTGTTTTCCCTTCACCAACAGTCCTCAATGCTTGAAGATCTTCGCGAGTTTGAAGAACTCTTTGCCCAGTTGGTGGGCGTCCCGGAGTTTGTGTTAGAGTGCGGCTTCAAGAATGGATTACGGGCTGATCTCCGGAATGGTATTGAGGTTCTGAATCCTCAGGGTCTTGAGGCTACGATCGAGCCTGCGTTTCGCTTGGAGCGGACTAGTTACAACATGGCGGCTGAGCTGTCGAAATCCTCTAATCACCGGTCTTCAAAGCAGTCGACAGGAGCGGTGGGGAGCGCTTTCTGGACTGTGACAATTCCGACAGGTGGGGTCGGGGGTCATCCTCGTGGATCCAGGGATCGTCGCCACAAGTCGATGGGCTTGCCTGCTTCAGGCCCATTACCTGGGGCCCATGCTGAGCCCAGTTTTGTTCCTCCTAAGGGCACTTTTCAGAAGATCTCTGATAAAGAAATGGAGGATCGCCGGAAGCACGGACTGTGTTTCCGTTGTGACGAAAAATACTTTTTCGATCACAAGTGAAAACTCAAGGAGCTTCAAGTAATCGTGGTCCAAGAGGACGGCGAGTCACTTTTGGCCGCCAATGCTCACACAGACCCCATTCCGGAGGAGCCACCAGCTGCGCCGGAAATTGCTGAGTTATCTCTCAACTCCGTCGTGGGTCTGACATCGCCGAAGACATTGAAACTTCAAGGATCAATTTCGGAGCTGCCTGTGATTGTTATGGTGGATAGTGGAGCCACACATAATTTCATTTCATGGGAGGTGGTTCGAAAACTGGGCATTTGTCCGACGACCACCAATGGCTATGGGGTTTCGCTGGGGACGAGACTGACAGTTCAGGGTGACGGAATTTGCAAGGGCGTGTCTCTCACTATCTAGGATTTTACATTGGTGGCTGATTCCCTTCCATTGAAGTTGGGTAGTGCCGATGTGATACTTGGGATTCAGTGGTAGAGAACCTTGGATAAGATTTTGGTGGATTTCGACAAATTGGAACTTCGTTTCGGAACCCAAGGGCAGCAGGTTATTCTCAGTGGCAACCCAAATCTGCATTTGTCGTTGGTAACTTTCAAATCTCTGTCGAAATTCGTGATCAATGGGGAGGAAAGCTACTTGATCGAGATGGGGGTTGTGACGAGTGAGACGGAGGTCCCAATTTCAGTTCCGCCGGAGTTACGTTCTGTTCTCGACAAATTTGTCTCTGTTTTTTATTATCCCTCAGGGTTACCACCGGCTCGCACTAAAGACCATCAGATTCAGTTGCTACCGGGTGCGGGTCCAATTTCTGTTCGGCCGTATCGTTATCCCCATGCCCACAAGGAAGAAATAAAGAAACTGGAGGTTCTGTGTTGAATATCGCGTCCTTAAAAGGATTACGGTTCCCGACAAATTTTCAATCCCAACGATAGATCAACTTCTCGACGAATTGTTCGACGCTGTGATATTTTCCAAACTGGATTTGAGGTCTGGGTATCACCAGATCTGGATGAGACCCGAAGACATTCCGAAAACAGCGTTTCGAACTCACGACGACCACTACGAATTTTTGGTGATGCCATTCGGCCTTACGAACGCCCCTGCGACGTTCCAATCCATGATGAATGATGTTTTCCGCCCCTTCTTGTGCAAGTTCGTGTTGGTCTTCTTTGAAGAGATCTTGATTTATAGCATGTTAGTGCAATTATTTGCACATGTGTTGTTTTGGTTGTTAAGTGGATAATGCAGGTTCAGGAGAGAAATCCGCCGAGATACAACTCGAAATATTTTGAGGTAAATCTGGAGAGTTGGAGTAAAAGTCAAAGACAGATTGAGATGGACTCAATGACAACCACTTGGAGAGATTTTAGGAAAAGCAATCTGAAGAGATATAGCCAGAAGTTTGGATTTGACTTGAAAAGATGAAGATAGAATCAAAGTCAAGAAGATTTAAGGAGTTTTGAGATAAAAATAAGATCTTGGAGATAAGGTCAAATGCTGAAGAGATAGAGTCAAACAAGAGATAAAGATGAGATTTTGGAGATAAAGATGAAATCAAAGAGAATCAAGGAGGAGTCTATCAAATCAATTCGTGGAGATCTAAGGCGAATTAGAGGAGCCTATATAAAGCAGAGAGCAAGTGCATATCAGTTCTCACGGAGAGCAAAGCATATTTTACTAAAAGAGTTTTTGTGTTAGTGAGTGAGCACTCATTTTTGAGTGAGTGTGGGTTTGACAGAGAGATCGATTGGACAAATCTCTTTTCTCTGGTGAGTGTTTAGGCGTGGATCTGAGGGGAAGACCTAATGGGAAAATCTTTGTTCCTTTGGTGAGCGTTTATGTTTGGTAAGGTTTTTAATCGGTAGAATTCATTGTGAGAGTGGGTTGAAACTCAGGGGGAGTTTCATCTGGGTGTTGAGTAGCTCTAACAAAAAGTGAGTTGTACTTGACTTTTTCTCAAGTGAATAGAACTGGTTAGTTTTTCCGTTTTACTCTTTGAGGGTCCAAACTTTTTCAATTGGTATCAGAGCTGGTCACCGATCGTAGAAACGTGTCCTCTCATATCGGTGTAAGTGTGGAAGACAAAACATGGACTCGATCAAAGGGTTTCACGCTCTTAGGACGTACACAATTCTTGATTCGGAGAATTATAGCTTTTGGAAAGTAAAAGCAATGAATCTCATCAAAGGGATTGATGAAGATGCTTGGAGTTCGGTGGAAGAAGGATGGAGTGCTCCAACTCACGTGGTTGATGGGAAGGAAATTTTGAAGCCTAGATCTAAATGGACAACCAAAGAGAAGAGAGCATCGGCATTAAATTCAAAGGCGATAACCATCATCTTCAATACCATTGATAAGGACGAATTCAAGCAGATCCAAGGGTGTAAGTCAGCAAAAGAAGCCTGGGATGCACTTGAACTAATTCATGAAGGTACCTCAAGTGTTAAACGCACAAGGAGATATCTGATCAAACATCAATTCAACATGCTTCAGATGGGTGAAAACGAAAGTGTCAAGGAATTTTGCGGGAGGCTGAATGCATTAGCAGAGGCTGAGGTTCTTGGAAAGACCTACCGAGACAAACAATTGGTGGCCAAACTTCTTGTAAGTTTACCTAAAAAGTTTATGTCTCATAAATCTGCATTCACCATGGTAAATAATGTAGACACTGTTAGTTTCAAAGAAACAGTTGGTGCATTTGCTGCTCATGAATTAGAATTAGAGTTGTATGAAAAGCCAAAGAGAGCAACAACGTCGCACAAAAATATGGCTTTCCATGTCCCAGAGATATCTGACACTCAAGGTCAAGTATCACTGGACGAGGACATGATGAAGATTGTCAAAAAGCTCAACAGATTTTTCAAGAAAAAGCCAGTGACTACTGGAAAATCTGAGTTGAGAAACACTGAAAAGTGTCTCGAATGCAAGGGAGCTGGTCATTGGAAAGCTGAGTGTCCTAACATTGCTAAGAGAGAAGCAATGTTGAGGAATCTAAAGGATCTTCAATGTTATGAATGCAAAGGGTATGGTAATATGAAGAACGAGTTTGCTGGTGGGAAGTCAAAAGGAAAATCTTCACTCACTTACGAAGAGTTGGAAACTGAATATGATGAAGATGAAGAAGAAGAACACTCAAATTTCGTTGCACTCTTTGGTGACACAAAAGAACATGAGGAACAAGAAGAGGATGTTAGTGAAGAAGATCTGTACAAAGAGATGACAAAGTTTTACGATATCAACATGAAGCTGATCAAGGAACAGAAACAGAGTGAGTCAACAATCACTGACCTGAAGAAACAGTTGATCAAGAACAAAAGGAGAAGGA